CTAAATGGGAATTTTTCGATAAATTTTCTATTATGAAAATCTTCGATTTTTTCATAGAAAATGTTTCACCTAATCTTTTCTTAAATAGCATTTTCTTTTTTTAAAGTAAATTTTGATAAATTTTTATTTTTATAGAAAAATTTCGATACATTTTTATTTTTATAGAAAAATTTCGATATTTTTTTTTTTTTTATAGAAAAATTTCGATAAACTTTCTTTATTATGAAATCTTTTTAATAAGTTTTCATTTTTATAGAAAATTATAGATTTTTTTTATAAAAATTTTATACAAAATGTTCAACAATTTTTTTTTATAGAAAATTTTCGTAAAATTTTCTTTTTTTATAAAATTTTTTTATAATTTCCTTTTTTATTGAAAATTTTCTTTTTTTTATAGAAAATTGTCCATGTATTCTTTTTTATATAGAAAATTTTCCATAAATTTTCTTTTTAATAGAAAATTTTCGTTGAATTTTTGTTTTTATAGAAATTTTTTGATAAATTTTCGTTATATATAGAAAATTTTCGATAACTTTTCTTTTTTATAGAACATTTTTGTTAAATTTTCTTTTTTATAGAAAATTTTAGTTAAATTTTCTTTTTTATAGAAAATTTTCGTTAAATTTTCTTTTTTATAGAAAATTTTCGTTAAATTTTATTATTTATAGAAAATCTTCGTTAACTTTTATTTTGTATAATAATTCTTCGTTCAATTTTACTTTTTATAGAAAATTTTCAATAAATTTTCTTTTTTTATAGAAATTTTTCAATAAATTTTCTTTTTTTATAGATAAATGTTTTCTTTTTATAAAAAATTTTCGATAAATTTTCTTTTTTGTACAAATTTTTAAAGAAGTTTTCCTTTTTTAAGAAAATTTTGTATAAACTTTATTTTTTAAAGAACATTTTTAATAAATTTCAAAAGAAACCCGTTAATCGTAGATTCCTTTCTAAAGAAAATTGTCTAGCGGAGACTCATTCCTTACGAAAACCTATCACTGATGTCTCTTGTCTAAAGAAAACTGTCTGAAACTGAAAAAATCGTTAAAATATGCTTTTGTTTCATTTTAATAATGATAGAAACACTGGCATCACTGTTGAAAATGTCAAGAGTTAAAAACAATTTGCAGCCTGTTAAACAACAACAAACAACTGTCAGTAAACATATTTGCCAAGGGTTTAGGTCTTTGCTAATATAAACAGAAATCTAGCCAAGTTTACTACCACTAACTACACTTGGAGGTTAAAAATTCTACTAAATAGTGGGAGTATTGTTGAAATTGAAAAAAGATGTGTTAATTCTAAACAGTTAAACCAAATTTATTAAAATTTGTCAAAAATAGAAAGAAGATTTAGGCAAATAAGATTATTACCAAGAAATTAGATTTCTTTTAATATTAGTTGTTGTTATTTTGTTATTTTTGTTATTTTTTAATAAAACTCTTAGAATTTTTTTTAATATTATTAATATTTTATTTATTTTTGTATATAAATTTTAATTAAATGGAATAACACTTACATAATCATTTTTATTATTATTATTACTATTTGTTTTTAATCAAGTTTCTTTTCATTTTTTACTTATCAGAACTTTTGTTTTGATTTAAATATTAAAAAAAAATCAAAAATCAATTTTTAAAATAACTTAAAACTAAACATGCACTTAAATACATAAAATAAACACAAAAAAACTTATACAAAACGAAAAATAAAAATAAAATTTTAAAATTCTAAAAAACAAAAAGGGAAATTATAAATTAAAAATGGGAATATATTCAAGACTTGGCCAAGAACTAAACAAAATACATATAATTACATAAAATCAATTTAAAATCATTAAAAAACAAGCCTATGTTGTTATAAAATACAATATAAAAAGCTTATTTATAAAACATATAAAATATAATAAATCAAAATTATTTTTTTTAATAAAATAAACTTTATTTTATTTAAAACAAATAGTTTTTTGTTCTATTCGAAATATCTAGCTTTAAAGTTCAGTTGTTGTTGTTGTTGTTTTAACATTTATTACTTTTTTATTTACTGTCTTTTTTTTATAAAGATTTTGTTACTTTAAGTGTTTAATATATAAATAATTTGCAATTATTTTTATATTATTTTATGCTAATTATATAAATGTTTATTTAAATATTTTTTTATTATTACTTTTTTGTTATTTTTTATGTAAGTATAAATGTGCTAGAAAGTCTACAATTTTTTTATAATATATATATTACCTTAACACATTTTATGTTTGTTTTTTTTTTCTTCATAATTTATTTAAAGTTTTAAAGATAAATCCCTCAAAATTTATTTTTTTTATAGTATTTTTTTATAATAAATTATATTAATTATTATTATTTTTTGTTATGTTAACATGTTTGTTTTTTTATTTGAAAACGTACAAAAAGTATACTTTTAAAAAGCTTTCCTTTTTATATGATTAAATTTTAAATTTTTTTATATTTATTTTTAAGTTTTTGTTGATTTTTTTTCTTCTATTTTATTTAATAATAATGTTTATTTTTTTAAGTTTTATTAAGAAGTTCAAATTGGAAAAAGGCCTTCATTCCTCCAGTGTATATTTTTTATAACTCGTTTGGTTTTATACTTTTTTTTATTAATTTTTCAAATAAATTTAAATAAACAGGAGTTTTTTATATAAAATAAAGAAAACAAAACTAATTTATTAATGAATTTATAATGATTTTAATATCCAAACATTTTTATAAAAAATGTTTTAAAAAATGGTCTATAGTTTAGTCCACAGTCTAGAAATGAACTAGAACAGAGCAAAACTGAAATAGAACTTGAACTGAACTAGAACAGAACTAGAACAGAACTAGAACAGAACAAAATCAGAACTAGAACAAAACTGGAACAGAACTAGAACAGAACTAGAACAGAACTAGAACAGAACTAGAATAGAACTAGAACAGAACTAGAACAGAACTAGAACAGAACTAGAACAGAACTAGAACAGAACGAACAGAACTAGAACAGAACTAGAACAGAACTAGAACAGAACTAGAACAGAACTAGAACAGAACTTGAACAGAACTAGAACAGAACTAGAACAGAACTAGAACAGAACTAGAACAGAACTAGAACAGAACTAGAACAGAACTAGAACAGAACTAGAACAGAACTAGAACAGAACTAGAACAGAACTAGAACAGAACTAGAACAGAACTAGAACAGAACTAGAACAGAACTAGAACAGAACTAGAACAGAACTAGAACAGAACTAGAACAGAACTAGAACAGAACTAGAACAGAACTAGAACAGAACTAGAACAGAACTAGAACAGAACTAGAAAAGAACTAGAACAGAACTAGAACAGAACTAGAACAGAACTAGAACAGAACTAGAACAGAACTAGAACAGAACTAGAACTGAACTAGAACAGAACTAGAACAGAACTAGAACAGAACTAGAACAGAACTAGAACAGAACTAGAACAGAACTAGAACAGAACTAGAACAGAACTAGAACAGAACTAGAACAGAACTAGAACAGAACTAGAACAGAACTAGAACAGAACTAGAACAGAACTAGAACAGAACTAGAACAGAACTAGAACAGAACTAGAACAGAACTAGACAGAACTAGAACAGAACTAGAACAGAACTAGAACAGAACTAGAACAGAACAGAACTAGAACAGAACTAGAACAGAACTAGAACAGAACTAGAACAGAACTAGAACAGAACTAGAACAGAACTAGAACAGAACTAGAACAGAACTAGAACAGAACTAGAACAGAACTAGAACAGAACTAGAACAGAACTAGAACAGAACTAGAACAGAACTAGAACAGAACTAGAACAGAACTAGAACAGAACTAGAACAGAACTAGAACAGAACTAGAACAGAACTAGAACAGAACTAGAAACAGAACTAGAACAGAACTAGAACAGAACTAGAACAGAACTAGAACAGAACTAGAACAGAACTAGAACAGGACTAGAACAGAACTAGAACAGAACTAGAACTGAACTAGAACTGAACTAGAACTGAACTAGACTGAACTAGAACTGAACTAGAACTGAACTAGAACTGAACTAGAACTGAACTAGAATAAAATTAGAACTGAACTAGCACTGCACTAGAACTAGAAGTGAACTAGAACCGGACAATTTAGTCTATAGTCTGAACTATAGTCTAGTATGTTGTCTATAGTTTAGTCAATAGTCTGGGCAATAGTTTAGTTGATAGAATGAAATATTGTAGGGACTATAGTTAAGTCTATAGTCTGGACTATAGTTTAATATATTCTGAATAAAAGTCTAGTATGGAATAACTGTAGTCTTGACTATAGATTAGTTTATAGTCTCGACCATAGTTTTGCCCATAGTCTCGACTATGGTTAAGTCTATGTTAAGTCTATATCTATAGTTAAGTCTATAGTCTCGACTGTAGTTTAGTCTATAGCATCGAATATAGTTACGACTATAATTTCGACTATAGTTTAGTATATGATCTCAAGTAATCACCCTAATTAAAAAAAGAAAAGGAATGTTATTATGTATTAGCTGCCTGCTTTTGAGGAGGGAATGTTTCAAAAAATTTTTAAATATTCTTAAATTTCACAATTGAAAATCAACTCCTGTTTATTTAAACTCATTATCATGTTAAGTTTTAAACTCTATAATTATGTATTGTATATATATTTTTTTTGTTATATAAAAAATTCTATACTAAATACTTAGTCATATATGTATATATTTATATGTATAATAAACATTTAATTACAAATCATGTTAAAAAGTAATAATAAAAAAAAAAAACATTAAAAAAATAAAATACCCAAAATAAACATAAAAACTATTAACAAATAAAAAAACATAAAATCCTGATGCAGTATATCAAATAGAAATTTCAATATGAAAATATTTTTAAATTAAAATTTATCTCTGAGTTACTGCAACAAAAGGTTAATCTAAGGATGTTATTTTGTTTAATCTAAAGTGGAAAACAAAAACAAAATATATGTTTGTATATAGGGCTAACCACACTTACATTATTACAATAACTAAACTATATATATTTATATATATAATCTACATACATATGTATATACTTATGTACTGTTAGTATTAAAGTTAATAAGTTATTTACTAATATTCCTCATTGTTTTTTTTTTTTGTTTAATATATATTTCGGTTCGGTTTATTTTCTTAAACAAGTTGCCTAAAGAAAGTTTTGTTAGAGAGAAAGAGAGTGACAGAAAGATAGAGAGGAAGTTAGTTTATAGAGTGGGTTTTTTTTAGTGTAGCACCTGTTTTGTTGCAATGATTTCATACATTTTGATTCTCACTTGTTATCATATGTTTCCCTTACATTTAGCTTAAAAAAAAGAACTGTTTTACTAAACAACTACTTACGGTCCATTTATTCACTGTCTATATTTAAACCTACTCGTTTCTCTTCCTCTAACATGGCATCTAATTCATCGGTGAGATTTGCCAACATATTACCAATATCATTGAGCACATTTACCGAAACCTTTTGACCGGCACCAGCAGCTACGGCACCCACCACATTAACACCAGCGGCCGCCGTGTTAGACGTTATGGCACTTGTTTCAATAGGATTAGAATCGACGGAGGCGACAATGGCGGCGGCAGAATTATCATCAGTACCTAGACCAGCCAATGACGGGGCACTGTCAGCATTAACGGGAGGATATTGTAAAGTAGGTGATCTTAGTAAAGATAAACCAGCACTACCACCACTAGCGGTTGAACCAATACTTTCACTACGTATTAGGGAGGCATCATGTAGTGAGGAGGATGATTTAAGGGAATGAAATGAATGGGCAATATTGGCTATAGTGTTTGTCGATGATGAGGACGATGAGGAAGAGGAGGAATGTAAATGGCTGCTGCCGGTTGTACCTTGAGATCCAGTGGCACCACCACCTCCACCGGTTAATTCTTGGCGATTAAGTAAACGTTGTTTGATCGTACCGGTATTTTCATTGGCAAATGGTATGGTATCAATCGAATCAATGCTGGAATTGGACTAGAAAGAGATGGAGAGAGAAAAATTAATTTTTTATATAAATTCTAGACCGTAGAAAATATACGACTTGACTACAGTTCAATGTTAGGAATATTGTCGGGATTAAAGTATACAGTAATGACATCTCGTGTCATTTCAGTTTTAGTTCAGTTCTAGTTCAGTTCTAGTTCAGTTCTAGTTTAGTTCTACTTTAGTTCTAGTTCAGTTCTAGTTCAGTTCTAGTTCAGTTCTAGTTCAGTTCTCGTTCAGTTCTAGTTCTAGTTCTAGTTCAGTTCTAGTTCAGTTCTAGTTCAGTTCCAGTTCAGTTCTAGTTCAGTTCTAGTTCAGTTCTAGTTCAGTTCTAGTTCAGTTCTAGTTCAGTTCTAGTTCAGTTCTAGTTCAGTTCTAGTTCAGTTCTAGTTCAGTTCTAGTTCAGTTCTAGTTCAGTCTAGTTCAGTTCTAGTTCAGTTCTAGTTCAGTTCTAGTTCAGTTCTAGTTCAGTTCTAGTTCAGTTCTAGTTCAGTTCTAGTTCAGTTCTAGTTCAGAGTTCTAGTTCAGTTCTAGATTACAGTTCTAGTTCAGTTCTAGTTCAGTTCTAGTTCAGTTCTAGTTCAGTTCTAGTTCAGTTCTAGTTCAGTTCTAGTAGTTCTAGTTCTAGTTCAGTTCTAGTTCTAGTTCAGTTCTAGTTCATTCTAGTTCAGTTCTAGTTCAGTTCCAGTTCAGTTCCAGTTCAGTTCTATTCAGTTCTAGTTCAGTTCTAGTTCAGTTCTAGTTCATTTCTAGTTCAGTTCTAGTCAGTTCTAGTTCAGTTCTAGTTCAGTTCTAGTTCAGTTCTAGTTCAGTTCTAGTTCAGTTCTAGTTCAGTTCTAGTTCAGTTCTAGTTCAGTTCTAGTTCAGTTCTAGTTCAGTTTTCAGTTCAGTTCTAGTTCAGTTCTAGTTCAGTTCTAGTTCAGTCTAGTTCAGTTCTAGTTCAGTTCTAGTTCAGTTCTAGTTCAGTTCTAGCTCAGTTCTAGTTCAGTTCTAGTTCAGTTCTAGTTCAGTTCTAGTTCAGTTCTAGTTCAGTTCTAGTTCAGTTCTAGTTCAGTTCTAGTTCAGTCCAAGTTCAGTTCTAGTTCAGTTCTAGTTCTAGTTCAGTTCTAGTTCTAGTTCTAGTTCAGTTCTAGTTCAGTTTTAGTTCAGTTCTAGTTCAGTTCTAGTTCAGTTCTAGTTCAGTTCTAGTTCAGTTCTAGTTCAGTTCTAGTCCAAGTTCAGTTCTAGTTCTAGTTCAGTTCTAGTTCAGTTCTAGTTCAGTTCTAGTTCAGTTCTAGTTCAGTTCTAGTTCAGTTCTAGTTCAGTTCTAGTTCAGTTCTAGTTCAGTTCTAGTTCAGTTCTAGTTCAGTTCTAGTTCAGTTCTAGTTCAGTTCTAGTTCAGTTCTAGTTCAGTTCTAGTTCAGTTCTAGTTCAGTTCTAGTTCAGTTCTAGTTCAGTTCTAGTTCAGTTCTAGTTCAGTTCTAGTTCAGTTCTAGTTCAGTTCTAGTTCAGTAGTTCAGTTCTAGTTCAGTTCTAGTTCAGTTCTAGTTCAGTTCTAGTTCAGTTCTAGTTCAGTTCTAGTTCAGTTCTAGTTCAGTTCTAGTTCAGTTCTAGTTCAGTTCTAGTTCAGTTCTAGTTCAGTTCTAGTTCAGTTCTAGTTCAGTTCTAGTTCAGTTCTAGTCAGTCTAGTCAGTTCTAGTTCTAGTTCAGTTCTAGTTCAGTTCTAGTTTCAGTTCAGGTTCAGTTCTAGTTCTAGTTCAGTTCTAGTTCAGTTCTAGTTCAGTTCTAGTTCAGTTCTAGTTCAGTTCAGTTCTAGTTCTAGTTCAGTTCTAGTTCAGTTCTAGTTCAGTTCTAGTTCAGTTCTAGTTCAGTTCTAGTTCAGTTCTAGTTCAGTTCTAGTTCAGTTCTAGTTCAGTTCTAGTTCAGTTCTAGTTCTAGTTCAGTTCTAGTTCAGTTCTAGTTCAGTTCTAGTTCAGTTCTAGTTCAGTTCTAGTTCAGTTCTAGTTCAGTTCTAGTTCAGTTCTAGTTCAGTTCTAGTTCAGTTCTAGTTCAGTTCTAGTTCAGTTCTAGTTCAGTTCTAGTTCAGTTCTAGTTCAGTTCTAGTTCAGTTCTAGTTCAGTTCTAGTTCAGTTCTAGTTCAGTTCTAGTTCAGTTCTAGTTCAGTTCTAGTTCAGTTCTAGTTCAGTTCTAGTTCAGTTCTAGTTCAGTTCTAGTTCAGTTCTAGTTCAGTTCTAGTTCAGTTCTAGTTCAGTTCTAGTTCAGTTCTAGTTCAGTTCTAGTTCAGTTCTAGTTCAGTTCTAGTTCAGTTCTAGTTCAGTTCTAGTTCAGTTCTAGTTCAGTTCTAGTTCAGTTCTAGTTCAGTTCTAGTTCAGTTCTAGTTCAGTTCTAGTTAGTTCTAGTTTAGTTCTAGTTTAGTTCTAGTTTAGTTCTAGTTTAGTTCTAGTTTAGTTCTAGTTCAGTTATAGTCTGTAGTTTAGTCTATAATTAAGACTAGAGTCTAGTCTGGACCATACAGGCCCATCACAAAATTGAATTCCTCACCTTATTGTCATGAAATTTCTCACAATGAATTTCGGCGGTGGTTTGCTGTATGGTGGCATAGTTGGCATAGATGGGTTGGGAAGCTTGTTGTTGCAAATAAGCAGCATGTGGGTGCATTGAAGGACCAACACCCGGACCCATACCCCCACCAGCACCATAATACATATTGGAACCCATACCATGAGCAGCAACCGAAGAAGGATTCATTTGCGAACCATCCTGACTTAAAGTTCGTGAATTACGTATACTGCAATGGCGTCGCGGTGGTTCGGGAGCAATTTTTTTCGCCGTCATAGGGCTACCAGTTAAATAGGGCTATAAAAATACAAAAATGGTTAAAAATTATGAAGACAAATTTAAAAATTAAACCTAAGCTAACTAACATTAGTTAAACTGGAACTATCTAAAACATTGCCAGCACCTACATTTGAGGATACGCCAGCATTAGCACCAGGTGGCACATTAGCTGTAGTAGGAGGACCTAAACCACCAGCATGACAGACATATTCTGCAGCGGCGGCAGCATTCATATAATGATGATGCTCCAAAGGTGGCATGGTGTTTAAAACAGCCCTTTGCAAGATGCCACGCTGTTGGCGTGGCAAAGTGCCACCGCCTTCCTCATACATGAGTTCACGGGCGGCAGCATCATTGGTGGGTGTTATATCACCATCATCGTAAGAACGACGCCAGTTCTGATAGCATGTTAAATAGATTTATTTTATATAATTAAATGATTTATTTCTAATTATATTTCTAAATATTTATGTGTAAAGAGTAATTAATAACTTACCATAGTGGCGGGATTGCTTAACATACGTTGTGCCGCACCTGGGGGCAAATTACCGGCACCACCGGCCATTAGAGCGGCCTGTTGTAGATGCTGCTGTTGCTGCAAGGCCTGTTGATGCTGTTGCAATTGTGAGGGATGGGCAAAATGACCATAATCTGTTGTGGTATAATGACTAAAAGTCAAATGGCTGCGTGTGCTGTTATCATGGATATCCTCTAATGATTCCAAACTTTTGCCTCGAGGTTGACGTACCTGTTGGGGGGATATAGAAGATTAATTATTAGCTTCTTCTAGTAAAATTGAGAATAATTGAGCTGGTTGGTTATATTAATAAATAGTTTTCAGTTAAAAATGTCCCATCCTTGATCTATTTTTAGTCAAAATATCATGCCGATAAGGGAATTTTTAACTGAAAAGTATGTTTGTTTAATGTTAAAACAAAAAATATAAAAATTTTGTTAAAAACACAAAGAAACTGAAGGCGGGATTTGATTAACTTCAAAAAAGTTTTTTAAATTTAAGATTTCAATCATAAAAACTAAATAATTCTTTCCAAATAATTACTCAATTCAGATTAGTTTTATAAATATTGAAATTTTATGGATTCTATATTGTTTCTTTCTAAATGATCTTTTCTATTCTATTCTATTGTAAGCATTCATTATTTCACTCATTACCTTAATTAAAACAACATCATTGCCATTACAACATTCATGATTACTACCAGTGCAGTAGTAAGCATCGGTAGTGGGTGATGTATTGGCATAAATTTTCGAATCATCCCATGATACACGTGTAGTGGGTAAATAAGTAGGGGTGGGAGGCAACTGTTGCCAGGGTTTGGTATAAATCTAAATTAAGAAAAATAAAATAAATAAAATCAAAAAAATTAAGATACAAAATTAAAAATAACAAAATAATAATAGAAAGTAAAAATTAAAAAAAAAAAAATTGTATAAAACAATATTTTTTGTCTTCAAATTAAGAAAAAAGTGTTAGGTTTGTGTTTAAAAATTGTTAATATTTCTATATTCAAAAGATTAGATTGTAGTCCAAACAATAGACTAAGAATTAGTCAAGACAATAGACTAGACTATCGAATAGTCTAAAGTCTGGAATATTCGTTTCAGTTCTAGTTCAGTTCTAGTTCAGTTCTAGTTCTAGTTCTAGTTCAGTTCTAGTTCAGTTCTAGTTCAGTTCTAGTTCAGTTCTAGTTCAATTCTAGTTCAGTTCTAGTTCAGTTCTAGTTCAGTTCTAGTTCAGTTCTAGTTCAGTTCTAGTTCACTTCTAGTTCAATTCTAGTTCAATTCTAGTTCAGTTCTAGTTCAGTTCTAGTTCAGTTCTAGTTCAGTTCTAGTTCAGTTCTAGTTCAGTTCTAGTTCAGTTCTAGTTCAGTTCTAGTTCAGTTCTAGTTCAGTTCTAGTTCAGTTCTAGTTCAGTTCTAGTTCAGTTCTAGTTCAGTTCTAGTTCAGTTCTAGTTCAGTTCTAGTTCAGTTCTAGTTCAGTTCTAGTTCAGTTCTAGTTCAGTTCTAGTTCAGTTCTAGTTCAGTTCTAGTTCAGTTCTAGTTCAGTTCTAGTTCAGTTCTAGTTCAGTTCTAGTTCAGTTCTAGTTCAGTTCTATTTCAGTTCTAGTTCAATTCTAGTTCAGTTCTATTTCAGTTCTAGTTCGGTTCTAGTTCAGTTCTAGTTCAGTTCTAGTTCAGTTCTAGTTCAGTTCTAGTTCAGTTCTAGTTCAGTTCTAGTTCAGTTCTAGTTCAGTTCTAGTTCAGTTCTAGTTCAATTCTAGTTCAGTTCTAGTTCAGTTCTAGTTCAGTTCTAGTTCAGTTCTAGTTCAGTTCTAGTTCAGTTCTAGTTCAGTTCTAGTTCAGTTCTAGTTCAGTTCTAGTTCAGTTCCAGTTCAGTTCTAGTTCAGTTCTAGTTCAGTTCTAGTTCAGTTCTAGTTCAGTTCTAGTTCAGTTCTAGTTCAGTTCTAGTTCTAGTTCAGTTCTAGTTCAGTTCTAGTTCAGTTCTAGTTCAGTTCTAGTTCAGTTCTAGTTTAGTTCTAGTTCAGTTCTAGTTCAGTTCTAGTTCAGTTCTAGTTCAGTTTTAGTTCAGTTCTAGTTCAGTTCTAGTTCAGTTCTAGTTCAGCTCTAGTTCAGCTCTAGTTCAGTTCTAGTACAGTTCTAGTCCAGTTCTAGTTCAGTTCTAGTTCAGTTCTAGTTCAGTTCTAGTTCAGTTCTAGTTCAGTTCTAGTTCAGTTCTAGTTCAGTTCTAGTTCAGTTCTAGTTCAGTTCTAGTTCAGTTTTAGTTCAGTTCTAGTTCAGTTCTAGTTCAGTTCTAGTTCAGTACTAGTTCGGTTCTAGTCCAGTTCTAGTCCAGTTCTAGTTCAGTTCTAGTTCAGTTCTAGTTCAATTCTGCCAGTTTTCAGTTCAGTTTCAGTCTATATTCTAGTCTATAGTCTAGTCGAAAGTCTAGCCTACAGTCTAGTCTATACGAAAGTCTAGTCTATATACGATTTATTCATTCAACAATCATTACCTGTTGATTGTAGGGATTTGAACCACCGGGATTCCATTTTCCGCTAATAATGTCTTTGACACGTTTTATGGCCAGCAGAATTTTCTTTTGATGTCCCAACTTAACAATACCAATATCTTCGAGATCTTCCCAAGTTACTTGGGTAACATCGCGTACTGTTTTATAATTTTGATCCAATAAAGGTTGTATGTACTCCTCCAAACGTAAAAGTTGTAGCCATTCTTCAATGGAACCCTGGAATTAAAAAAAGAAATACAAAATATAATAAATGCATATTCCTTTTAGAAATTAAATAAAAACGCTAACTTTAAATCATGGTATTTTTGTTTTCAAATGGCATCACTGTCAACCAGCCATTAAAATATACAGTAAAGTGTTTTTTTTTATGCTCGAGTGATGCCAAATAATTGTTTTTATTATTTTAAACATTCTTTTGCAGAACCCTTTAATAATAATTATGACTAAAATTAAAAACAACTTTAAAATGATTTACTTCATAATTGTTCCAATAATGTCAGTAAATTGTCTGCGGTTTATAACAGTCGCTATTTATTACACTCGTTTTCATAATATTAAACCAAAATATAAAAATTATTTCTGACATTTTGTCTCACCATCATTTTTATGATTAGATAGATATTAAAAAATGTATATATAGCTCTTTACTAACTTAACATTTGTTGGTGTTGTTAAATGTCTTTATTTTTGGTAAAAAAAATTATCAGATTTAAAACATTTGTGAATTGTTGATAGTAAGTAAGAGTATCAACAAATTGTATACTTAATAGTTTTTGTTTTTTACTTATTATTTGTTTGCAAGTAAGTTTTTTAGTTTGGTTGGAATTGTTGGGTTTGCTTTTTTTATTCAATTGCAAAAGCCATTGAACCAATTTAATAATTTTATTATGATTACATTTCAATCGCTGTTTTATTGTTTATATTTTTGAGATTTCAATTGAACTAGTTCAGGGACAATTTCAATCACAATTTATTAATGATTTCTTTTAAATGTTTGTTTAATAATCAAAACATAATTCTTTTCTGTTAAATTGAATAATAGTATTAATATAAAATATGTTAAATGCATTAATTTGATCAATAAATTTTAAAACAATCGATAAATTGCTTTATTTACGTCTTCCTTCTAATGCTACAAGTCAAAATAAAGTAAAAAGTCCAAATTTTCCAACGCTGGAATACTTAGTGCAGTAATACCAAAAGTTTTTTCTTACTAATTTGCTATTTGTAAACAAAATAGCGGTAATTTGAAAAATATGTGTCTGCGTATATATTGGACATGTTTATGTAATTCACCGAGGAATGATAGTCTATTCTATAGTCTAGACTATAGTCTAATCTAGTCTATATTCTAGTCTATAGTCTAGTCTAGTCTATAGCCTAGTCTATAGCCTAGTCTATAGTCTAGTCTATAGTCTTGTCTATAGTCTAGCCTATAGTATAGCCTATAGTCTAGTCTATAATATTGTCAATAGTCTTGTCTATAGTCTATTCTATAGTCTAGTCTATAGTCTAGTCTATAGTCTAGTCTATAGTCTAGTCTATAGTCTAGTCTAGTCTAGTCTATAGTCTAGTCTATAGTCTAGTCTATAGTCTAGTCTATAGTCTAGTCTATAGTCTAGTCTATAGTCTAGTCTATAGTCTAGTCTATAGTCTAGTCTATAGTCTAGTCTATAGTCTAGTCTATAGTCTAGTCTATAGTCTAGTCTATAGTCTAGTCTATAATCTAGTCTATAGTCTAGTCTAGTCTATAGTCTAGTCTATAGTCTAGTCTATAATCTAGTCTATAGTCTAGTCTAGTCTATAGTCTAGTCTAGTCTATAGTCTAGTCTATAGTCTAGTCTATAGTCTAGTCTATAGTCTAGTCTAGTCTATAGTCTAGTCTATAGTCTAGTCTATAGTCTAGTCTAGTCTATAGTCTAGTCTATAGTCTAGTCTAGTCTATAGTCTAGTCTAGTCTATAGTCTAGTCTATAGTCTAGTCTATAGTCTAGTCTAGTCTATAGTCTAGTCTATAGTCTAGTCTATAGTCTAGTCTATAGTCTAGTCTATAGTCTAGTCTATAGTCTAGTCTATAGTCTAGTCTATAGTCTAGTCTATAGTCTAGTCTATAGTCTAGTCTATAGTCTAGTCTATAGTCTAGTCTATAGTCTAGTCTATAGTCTAGTCTATAGTCTAGTCTATAGTCTAGTCTATAGTCTAGTCTATAGTCTAGTCTATAGTCTAGTCTATAGTCTAGTCTATAGTCTAGTCTATAGTCTAGTCTATAGTATTGTCAATAGTCTTGTCTATAGTCTTGTCAATAGTCTAGTCTATAGTGTAGTCTATAGTCTAGTCTATAGTCTAGTCTATAGTCTAGTCTATAGTCTAGTCTATAGTCTAGTCTATAGTCTAGTCTATAGTCTAGTCTAGTCTATAGTCTAGTCTATAGTCTAGTCTATAGTCTAGTCTATAGCCTAGTCTATAGTCTAGTCTATAGTCTAGTCTATAGTCTAGTCTATAGTCTAGTCTATAGTCTAGTCTATAGTCTAGTCTATAGTCTAGTCTATAGTCTAGTCTATAGTCTAGTCTATAGTCTAGTCTATAGTCTAGTCTGTAGTCTAGTCTATAGTCTAGTCTATAGTCTAGTCTATAGTCTAGTCTATAGTCTAGTCTATAGTATAGTCTATAGTCTAGTCTATAGTCTAGTCTATAGTCTAGTCTATAGTCTAGTCTATAGTCTAGTCTATAGTCTAGTCTATAGTCTAGTCTATAGTCTAGTCTATAGTCTAGTCTATAGTATAGTCTATAGTATAGTCTATAGTCTAGTCTATAGTCTAGTCTATAGTCTAGTCTATAGTCTAGTCTATAGTCTAGTCTATAGTCTAGTCTATAGTCTAGTCTATAGTCTAGTCTATAGTCTAGTCTATAGTCTAGTCTATAGTCTAGTCTATAGTCTAGTCTATAGTCTAGTCTATAGTCTAGTCTATAGTCTAGTCTATAGTCTAGTCTATAGTCTAGTCTATAGTCTAGTCTATAGTCTAGTCTATAGTCTAGTCTATAGTCTAGTCTATAGTCTAGTCTATAGTCTAGTCTATAGTCTAGTCTATAGTCTAGTCTATAGTCTAGTCTATAGTCTAGTCTATAGTCTAGTCTATAGTCTAGTCTATAGTCTAGTCTATAGTCTAGTCTTATAGTCTAGTCTATAGTCTAGTCTATAGTCTAGTCTATAGTCTAGTCTATAGTCTAGTCTATAGTCTAGTCTATAGTCTAGTCTATAGTCTAGTCTATAGTCTAGTCTATAGTCTAGTCTATAGTCTAGTCTATAGTCTAGTCTATAGTCTAGTCTATAGTCTAGTCTATAGTCTAGTCTATAGTCTAGTCTATAGTCTAGTCTATAGTCTAGTCTATAGTCTAGTCTATAGTCTAGTCTATAGTCTAGTCTATAGTCTAGTCTATAGTCTAGTCTATAGTCTAGTCTATAGTCTAGTCTATAGTATTGTCAATAGTCTTGTCTATAGTCTATTCTATAGTCTTGTCAATAGTCTAGTCTATAGTCTAGTCTATAGTCTAGTCTATAATCTAGTCTATAATCTAGTCTATAGTCTAGTCTATGGTCTAGTCTATAGTCTAGTCTATAGTCTAGTCTATAGTCTAGTCTATAGTCTAGTCTATAGTCTAGTCTATAGTCTAGTCTATAGTCTAGTCTATAGTCTAGTCTATAGTCTAGTCTATAGTCTAGTCTAGTCTATAGTCTAGTCTATAGTCTAGTCTAGTCTATAGTCTAGTCTATAGTCTAGTCTATAGTCTAGTCTATAGTCTAGTCTATAGTCTAGTCTATAGTCTAGTCTATAGTCTAGTCTATAGTCTAGTCTATAGTCTAGTCTATAGTCTAGTCTATAGTCTAGTCTATAGTCTAGTCTATAGTCTAGTCTATAGTCTAGTTTATAGTCTAGTCTATAGTCTAGTTTATAGTCTAGTCTATATTCTAGTCTATAGTCTAGTCTATAGCCTAGTCTATATTTCTTTTACTAATGCTTCAAATCAAAATAAAGTAAAAATATACTAAATTTTCCAACGCTGCGATACTTAACATAGAGATGCCAATAGGATTTCCTACTAATTTGCTATTTGTAAACAAAATAGCGGTAATTAGTAAAATGTATGCCTGCGTATATGTATATGTGTTTGTTTGACATGTTTATGTAATTCACAGAGGAATGATAATTATTGCAAAATGTCTTTCTTAAGCTAAAAAAAAAATATTTACAAGTGTGAACTGGTCTTTAGAAAATTGAATAATACATTAACCTCAAGTCAAATTTGTAAAAAAAATCAATTAAAACTGAATTTTTAAACAAAAATTAACTCTAACAGGTATAATTAACAAATGTCTAGCTACAATATTTTGCTTTATTAGTTAAAAATCTTAAATATGCAGTCATTAATTATTTAGAAAAAACTTAAACCAAACAAAACAGAAAAAACAAGCGGTCATTGTTTTAATTTATTTAAATACCTATTGTTTATTTTTGTTTGTAAAACCAGAAAATAAGATGCAAAGCAAAAACATAACAAAATAAACAAAAAAAAAACAACTACTTGTGCAAATTAATTATGAATTTCTTTAAGACAAAAAAACATACATTTTTGTATTTTACTAGCTATACCCAGTGTGCTTCGCTACCCTCATCGTAATGGAATAAAATAAATATTATTGTAAATGTATATATATCTGCAATATCAAAAAGTCCCCTATTTAAATTTATGTTTATATATTCAATATTTTAGAAAACTCAAAAAGTACCAGTTGAAGAACGAAAAATTACCAAAGGGTCCCCTTTTATAGATTCTCATTAACTCCGGGCTCCACATGGTTAATTTCATGTTATAAAAAACACAAAAAGTACCTTTTGAAGAACGAAAAATTACCAAAAAGTCCTCTTTTATATGTTCTCACTTACTCCGGGCTCTACGTACTTAATTTCATGTTTCTAGGTTCAATATAATAGAAAATTCAAAAAGTACCTTTTGAAGAACGAAAAAGTGCCGAAAAGTCCCCTTTTATAGGTTATCACTTAATCTTGGCTGTACTTGCTTAATTTCATGTTTCTAGGTTCAATATTATAGAAAATTCAAAAAGTACCTTTTGAAGAACGAAAAAGTACCAAAAAGTCCCCTCTTATAGATTCTCATTTACTCCAAGCTCTATATGCTTAATTTCATGCTTCTAGGATC